GTGTTCTGGAGCGGCAGTGGGATAGTTCAGACGTGAGGAAAGAAAGCGGAAGCAATTACTACGGTTGGAGTGGAAAGCAAGCAACTACCGTTGTGTTCCTTTAGGCTAATCTTGAGATTCTCATAATCAGGTCAGCTTGTAGAGTTTCTGGATCCTCGATTCTTTGTAGGGTGGTAATAGAGGTCACTGGGCATTGATATAGCTGATGGTCATAGTTTTAAAAGATTTAAGAGACCAGTAAATACGGGTAAGATAAATGGTGAAGATTTATGTGGTCCTGCCAACTTTCATGAGTGTGTTCAGGCATAGTTTTCTTACAAAGTTACACTTCAAAGAAACTTTGTGGAGAAAATAATATGACAAACCACCCTTCATGTTTGGAAAAGCAATAATAATAATCACTACAAAATCATTAACATTTCTAAAATTATGGTACCTGTCTGTATCCTTACATAGAGTATTTTAAATAAAAACTTTGCACTTTTGTTTCTGTGATGTCTGTGTTGCGAGGAAACAATTTTTAAGTAGCCTTTCTTCATGGTTATGTAGTATCTAATAGAGGATTTTTGTCCTTGCCAATATTACACATTAATTGAGGCAGGCTGAAAGAACTGTGATTTTGATCAGTGAGACACAATTACATTAGTTTTTATTTATAAAATCTATTTCTGAAAATAGAGTAATTAGGAACAGTAAGGAGTTATTGCAGATTGTTTTGAGAAGCAAAGTATCCAGCCAGAAGACAGAAAAAACATGAAACAACAAAGTGTTTTTTTTAATATTTAAAGTGTATTGTGTGAAAGTATTCCTGTGAAGTGGACTTAAGTGCAAAGATCCATTTAAACGGAAATAATATAACAACACAATATAATAGAAGTGAATTTGTAATAGGTGCACTTATTAACATTTGAGAAACAGTTATGGAGGTAATGAGTGGATTTGGACTGTTTTCCTGAACCTGAGTTTTAACGTGAGTAAATTAAACTGCCAGGAAAGTGCAGTAATAGCTTTTTACGTGTCCGAGTTCAGCACTTCCTGAAGCTGGAGGGCAATCTGAATTGGGACATTCTCCGAGTTTCACAGAATAATGTAGCTCTTGAATTGTTCTAGATTCAGAGTATATTTTAGCTCCATAATTCTAATGGAGTGCCTTGTAAAAACAGGAATTCTCAGCAACTTTTTTAACTCAAAATGCTTTTTTTTCTGGAGTGTTTTCTTCATTGTACAAGGACAAACCAGTGGGAATTTTGAGTCACATAATCCTCATCCACATATAAATTGATGTCTTCATCAGAACTTCAAGAAGTTTGTAATGCTGGCCTTCACGTTACGGAAGCAAAATCAACACCCCCCACCCTGGGGTTATATTTATTCATATATCTGCTTGTTCTAGCATTGTTACAGTCTCTGCTAAAATGTCCTGCACAGATTGCAGTTTCACAAACTTGTAGTTCTCCTTGGAAACTGTTGGATTAAATGGGTGTATTAGTTTCCATGCAAGGAAATTTTAAGTAGGAGCTTAGCCTAATCATTAGTAATTCCATTATTCATCATATCTTTCTCTTGGAGGATTTAATTGAGTGTTATTTGGTTGTTTCTTAGCCCTCATAGATACACCACAGCTTGTACATACAGTTCCTGTTCTGTCTCCCTTGCCAAAAAGACTGTGACATGCAACCTAGTTAAGTTTCTTCCACGGTGAATATTAACGCATTGAATCCATTTAAGCATATCTGCAAATAGCCTCATCGTTTCTGAGTGCTGCTTTATTCCAAGATCATTAATGAATAGGTGATATTAAACTCTAGAACATCTTTTGCCCCTGTTTGTAGGTTTAGTTGTGATTCCTTTAACTAGCTGTTTTTCAGGTTTTTTTTACCCTCTGTCTAGTTATATTTTTAATTTTATGTGTCAGAGTTTTTCTTAATTTGCTAATTCTTAAGGCTGTTGGAGGATCCTTTCCTTTCTGTTAACTTCCCTTGCTGTTTAGGCAGCCAGGTCTGTCTCTTTTTTTTGTTTTGTTTTGGTTTTTTGTTGGTGTTTTTTTTTTTTTGGGGGGGGGGAGGAGGTGTTTGGATTTGGTTTTTTTTTGTCTCCCATTTCTCAAGCCTTTCTTAATTGGAACTGATACCACAAATGATGCTCTGCTTCCTGTGTGGTACTCTGCTTTATCATGTTTTTAACACGTGTTCTCATTTTAATGTAGCTCTTCTCTTCCTGTAGTGGATTCCGTGGTGTTTTTTGCTGCTGAATCAATGCTGAGTATAGGTATAAAGATCCATGTTACACAGCGGCACTTCAATGGTGAGATTTTGTACCAGGTGAACATCTTTCATGTTATTCAGGACCAAGTAAATAGTTCATTTCCTCCTTGTGGTCTCCTAGCCAGCTGATTCGCAAAGCCATCAGCGACATGGTTTAAAAATTTCATCTCTGCTTAACATCGCAGTGTAATTTTTGCTCATTCTATTCAGGAATCATTTGAGTCACTCAGTGGAATTGCGTTTCTTGTCCTAATGCTGTAGTAAATTTCATCGGCCATACCACAGCTGGTGTTGCCTTCCTGGTGGGGAGGGTGATGCCGCAGTGCTGCATTGCTGCTACCTGCCACCTATACAGATTCTGTGATACACAATGCCAGCGGTTACAAAGACAGATACTGAGCAGTGTGTAGTCGAGAAACATTACCCCACCAGTGTCAGAGTTTTCTCACTGTGTTTCTGATGTAAACTGAGTCCTGGTACAACACTGTTTTGTTGTTTGTCTTCATTATGGTAAGTTTCTAGTAGGATGATGTGTTGTCGTTTCCTTTTTGGGCTATGTTGCACATTTCCACACAGATTAATGTTAGAAGGGACAAAAGCAGTAGATTTGGTATCTTGACTTCCAGATATTCCAGAAATCACCTGGACTGACTCCTACAGTGATATAGTTGCAGGCTTTAATTAGCAATGGTAGTTTACTCCTTGCACTGATGCTTTGCATATGTGTTCTATGTAGACAGAAATGGAGATCTGTAGGTAGATGTGACAGACAGTGATATTTCTTCTGGAGAAGGAGTTACCTGTTTTACAGCTGGTGAATAAATTTGTATGAATACTTGTATCTGTCCTCCTTCCAAATATAAACTAGGAAATGAAGTATGCCAGTCCAGGCATTTGAGAAAACCATGCAGGGGGAGTTTAGAGAAACAGGCTCAATTGCCATCAATTGGAATTTTGACAATGAAATGAAAGATTATTAGAAATATGATGTACCATAATTATAATGAGGATAATCAGGTAGCAGGGCGGATTATTACAGGAGATGGTAAATGATCCATTGGGTGCCTTTGTAAAAAGACTGTCTAACTCACAGAAATTGTGGGGCTTACAAAAGGAATTACTGGGTGAAATTCCCAGTCCTGTGTTATGTGGAGAGTCAGAACAGATTATTATAATGGTACCCTCTGGCTTTTAAATCTATGAATCTTTAAATATAAGCTTTTAATTCACATACAGCTTTTTATATCTACAGTTCTTTCTTCCTTTAAAAAACCCTGTTACTATTATGCAATAGTAACCCTGTTATGAAAGCATAGTGGATATTTTAACAAAATACACAGGGCCATGCGTTACCAAGCTGATTGTGCCAATCACTGAGATATAATGACAGAACCAAGATAGAAGTCAGACTGACTTTTTCAAGCCTGTTTTGTGAGTGAAGGAAACAGGTGGTTTTAAATACTGAAATTATATGTAGTTAAGTTCAATCTTATATGGCCCCTCTCATTTTATTGGTGCACTGATGCAGTGCAAAGAGAAAAAGGGGGAATTGTTGCAGAATGGCTGCGTGATCACGGCCATGACTCCCTTGAAGATCTTTGTGAAACTAAGTTAGCGTAAGTTAGCTGAAGTAGGCCTTGCAGCTATGCTGAGGCATGCTGATAAGGAAGTTGAGAAGGACATACTGACCTTGTGCCTAAAGTTGTAAATAACTTTGAAGAAGTCATGTAGACAAGAGAGAAAAATATGTAGCTAGCTAACCGCAGAAACCGCAAGTAGGAGGACGTATGAAAATGTAACCCTTTAGAGCTTAACCAATCAGCAGATGACTAGTAGGCATAATTAACTGGAACTGTATATAAGACATAATCGCGCCGTAATAAAGTGAAGCTTGCTTTATCACTCACATTGAGTTTGCCTGCTTGACTTCCCATGCCGTTGCAAGTAAGAGCTATTTTGCATTATTTGCTTTGAATTGATGTCTTTTTCTAAAATGGAGTATGTAAAGCTCCTTATTTATTATCATAGACACCAAGACACATTTGGTTTATAATTACAGTGAGCAGCGTTATAATTACTTGCATTTTGCATCTCATTGCAACAGTCATTCCTTGGTTGCTAAAACTTGTGTTTGAAGGAGTTTTTTTGTGTATAGGAATATCTAGGAGCCCTGGAATCACCGTATTTACTCTAAACTTACTTGTCGCTGCAATACTCAATTTTCATAGGTAGTAAAACCAAAAATGCTCTTATTTTTTCTATGCTATTTATGCTTATTTTTCATATAGTTTAACGAACACTCTTTTTTCATAAAATTAATTTTTTATTTTTTTATCAGATGGGTTTGAAGTCTCCATATTGGTTTCTCCAGCATTAGGTCGTTGAAAATATAGAAAGAGGCAAAAAAGACCCCTCAAAATGCAGCAGTTTC